CCTGGGGGATAAGGGGGGGTGTAAAGCTATGTATTTTACACACACACACACAAACACACACACGCACACGCTCACACACACGCACACACACACACACACACACAACACACACACAACACACAATCAATATATACATATTTGTTTGTATGTATTTATGTATGTTTGTACATATATTCTCAGCTACTGGGCCTCGAATCTGTTGCAAAGTAATCGACCAGTCTCTAACACCCTACTCCCAGCAAAAACAACAACAACACAACAAAATCAACAAAAACAACAAATCTCTCAATTCACATTATGCCAAGTATATTGATATATGTGGCCATCCGATGTTACGAGGGTGGATCAGCGAATATCTAAGAGAGAGAGAGAAGAGAGATAGATATAGATAGATAGATAGATAGATAGATAGATAGATAGATAGATAGATAGATAGATAGATAGATAGATAGATAGATAGATAGATAGATAGATAGATAGAGATAGATAGAGAGATAGAGATAGATAGAGAGATAGATAGAGAGATAGATAGATAGATAGATAGATAGATAGATAGATAGAGAGATAGAGAGATAGAGAGATAGAGATAGAGATAGATAGATAGATAGATAGAAGAGATAGATAGATAGATAGAGAGAGATAGGAGATAGATACTTAAAGGTACAAATCCAACTGATGTGCAGCACTAGAATAAAAAAACAAAACAAAAAACAATCTCCTGCAAAATTAACAGTATTCTTGAACAGGTACGCACACATGTCCCGATTTCTGAAATCTGAATCCAAAATATCCTGAATCCACAAAATATGGATCCAAAAATCCAAAAAATAAAATCCTAAATTTCGAATCCACAAAATTTTGAATCCTGAATCCCAAAAATCCCGAATTTGAAATTAACATATATTCCGCATCCTGAAATCTGAATCTTAAATCCTAAATTCCGAATCCACCAAATCCCGAATCGCGAATCTATAAAAAATCTGAATCCTGAAATCCGATTCATAAAGCCAAAACCCCGAATCCACAAAATCCCGAATCCTGAAATCTGATTCCTAAATCTTGAATCCTGAAATCTGAATCAGAAATCCTAAATCCCGAATCTTTAGACATCCTGAATCCTGGATTTTGATTCCTATATCCTAAATCCCGAATCTACAAAATCCTGAATCGTGAAATCTGATTCCTAAAGCTCGAATCATGAAATCTGATTCCTAAATCCAAAATCTCGAATCAACAAAATCCTGAATTATGAAATTTGGTTCCTAAACCCTGAAATGTGATTGGTAGATTCTAAAATCTGATTCCTAAAACCTGAAACCTGAAATCTGATTCCTAAATCTAGAATCCACAAAATCCTGATATCTGGTTCCTAAATCCTGAAGTCTGGTTCCTAAATACTGAAGTCTGATTCCTAAATCCTGAAATCTGATACTTAAATCCCGAAATCTGATACTTAAAATCTGAAATCTGATAAAATCTCTGAACTTAAAATCTGAAATCTGATCCCTTAAATCTGATACTTAAATCCTGAAATCTGATACTTAAAATCTGAAATCTGATTCCTAAATCCTGAAATCTGAATTTAAATCCTGAAAACTGATTCCTGATTCCACAAAATCCCGAATCCTGAAATCTGATACTTAAAATCCGAAATCTGATACATAAAATCTGAAATCTGATTCCTAAATCCTGAAATCTGATACTTAAATCCTGAAAATCTGATACTATAAAATCTGAAATCTGATTCCTAAATCCTAAATCCTTAAATTCCTAAACCCAAATCCACCCGATTCCCGCGCCACAAAAGATCACGACCTGAAATCTGAAGCTAATCCTTAATCATCTCTCCCTCCATCCACCTCTATTCCTCTCCCACGCATAGCCCTACTATTGTCTCTACTCCTCTCCTTTCTCTCTTCCTCTCTCTTTCTCTCTCTATCTCTCTCTGTCTCACTCTGATTTCTCTCAATCCCTTCTCCCTCTCTCTTTCTCTCCCTCCATCTCTCTCTGTCTCACTCTGTTTCTCTCTATCCTTTTCCCTCTCTCTTCTCTCTTTCTCTCTCTCTCCTCCATTCTCTCTTGTCTCTCCCTCCTCACCTTTTCCCTCTCTCTCATCTCTATTCTCCTCTCTATCCTTCTGCCTCTCTCTCTTTCTCTCTCTCTCTCATCTCTCTCTCTGGTCTTACTCTGTTCTCCTCTATCCTTTTCCCTTTCTCTTTCTCTCTTTTCGGTTCCCATGACAACGAAGAGCCGCGTTCATAAGGACTATAAACGCCGCTCTGAGTCCTTTTCCTTTGACAGTTACGATCCTGCCCTCCCGGATCTCCTGCCGAAGGAATCCGGCTCCGTCATGCCTTCAGGAGTAATTTGTAAGGACACGTAAACCCACACTGAAACGTTGAGGTAAAGATGTGACATGAAAGAAGTTTAGATAAAGATGTAATGTGGAAGGCGTTGAGATAAAGATGTGAAGACGTTGATAAAGATGTAATGTGGAAGGCGTTGAGATAAAGATGTGATATGAAAGAGTTTAGATAAAGATGTAATGTAATTGTGATGTAATGTGGAAGAGTTTAGATAGATGTAATGTGGAAGGCGTTTAGGTAAAGATGTGATATGAAAGAAGTTTAGATAAAGAATAAGGCGTTTAGATAAAGATGTAATGTGGAAGGCGTTTAGATAAAGATGTAATGTGGAAGGCGTTTAGATAAAGATGTGATATGAAAGAAGTTTAGATAAAGATGTAATGTGGAAGACGTTAGATAAAGATGTGATATGAAAGAAGTTTAGATAAAGATGTAATGTGGAAGACGTTGAGATAAAGATGTGATATGAAAGAAGTTTAGATAAAGATGTAATGTGGAAGGCGTTTAGATAAAGATGTGATATGAAAGAAGTTTAGATAAAGATGTAATGTGGAAAGATAAAGAATATGTTTAGATAAAGATGTAATGTGGAAACGTTGAGAAGATGTAAAGATGTAATGTGGAAGGCGTTGAGATAAAGATGTGATATGAAAGAAGTTTAGATAAAGATGTAATGTGGAAGACGTTTAGATAAAGATGGAATGTGGAAGACGTTGAGATAAAGATGTAATGTGGAAGAGTAAAGAATGATGTGGAAGTAGATAAAGATGTAATGTGGAAGACGTTTAGATAAAGATGTATAGTGAAAGAAGTGATAAAGATGTAATGAGACGTTTAGATAAAGATGTGATATGATGATAAAGATGTGAAGACGTTGAGATAAAGATGGAATATGAAAGAAGTTGGATAAAGATGTAATGTGGGTTAGACGTTTAGATAAAGATGTATATGAAAGAAGGATAAAGACGAAGTTTAGATAAAGATGATATGAAAGAAGTTTAGATAAAGATGTAATGTGGAAGACGTTTAGATAAAGATGTAATGTGAAGACGTTTAGATAAAGATGTAATGTGGAAGACGTTTAGATAAAGATGTGATATGAAAGAAGTTTAGATAAAGATGTAATATGAAAGAAGTTTAGATAAAGATGGATATGAAAGAAGTTTAGATAAAGATGTAATGTGGAAGACGTTGAGATAAAGATGTGATATGAAAGAAGTTTAGATAAAGATGTAATGTGGAAGACGTTACGTTTACGTTTAGATAAAGTGTGAAAGAAGTTTAGATAAAGATGTATTGTGAAGAAGTTTAGATAAAGATGTAATGTGGAAGACGTTGAGATAGATAGATGTAATGGATGGAAAGAAGTTTAGATAAAGATGTAATGTGGAAGACGTTGAGATAAAGATGTGATAATGAAAGAGTTTAGATAAAGATGTAATGTGGATAGTTAGATAAAGATGTGATATGAAAGAAGTTTAGATAAAGATGTGATATGTTTAGATAAAGATGTAATGTGGAGACGTTTAGATAAAGATGTGAAAAAGAAGTTTAGATAAAGATGTGATATGAAAGAAAGTTTAGATAAAGATGTAATGTGGAAGACGTTTAGATAAAGATGTGATATGAAAGATTTAGGATAAAGATGTATATGAAAGAAGTTTAGATAAAGATGTAATGTGGAAGACGTTGAGATAAAGATGTGATATGAAAGAAGTTTAGATAATGTAATGTGGAAGACGTTTAGATAAAGATGTGATATGAAAGAAGTTTAGATGAGTTGTAATTTAGATAAGATGTAATGTGGAAGACGTTAGATAAAGATGTGATATGAAAGCGTTTAGATAAAGATGTGATATGAAAGAAGTTTAGATAAAGATGTAATGTGGAAGACGTTTAGATAAAGATGTAATGTGGAAGACGTTGAGATAAAGATGTGATATGAAAGAAGTTTAGATAAAGATGTTATGATTTAGATAAAGATGTGATATGAAAGAAGTTTAGATAAAGATGTAATGTGGAAGACGTTGAGATAAAGATGTGATATGAAAGAAGTTTAGATAAAGATGTAATGTGGAAGGCGTTTAGATAAAGATGTGATATGAAAGAAGTTTAGATAAAGATGTGATATGAAAGAAGTTTTAGATAAAGATGTAATGTGGAAGGCGTTTAGATAAGATGTATATGAAGAAGTTTAGATAAAGATGTAATGTGGAAGGCGTTGAGATAAAGATGTGATATGAAAGAAGTTTAGATAAAGATGTGATATGAAAGAAGTTTAGATAAAGATGTAATGTGGAAGACGTTGAGATAAAGATGTAATGTGGAAGACGTTTAGATAAAGATATAATATAGAAGGCACTTAGGCAAAGATGTGATGTGGAAGGAGTTATTGTGAAGAGTGATAAAGATGTGACGTAGTGTGGTTATCCAGTTTTGAATTATGGAATGGAAGGATAACTGATGGAGTCTGATAGATAGAGAATGATGATAACAGAAATGGAGAGATAAATATATGTTCTCTTTAGATGTTGCGACAAACACTTACCTGAAGTTGTTGATAACCGATGTTCTTCGTCGAAAACTTCCGTCAAAACTTCAGCTTCTCTTATCCGAGAGAATTCAGACAATTCC